ATATATATTATATATATTTTATAAAAGATTGGTTTAGGGCTCAGTTGGTAGAACTCCAAGCAATTGCGCTTTTTATCCATACTATTGCGCCACTGAGTAGTGACTGAGTAGCTCGACTCTCCAATTCACTTAAAAAACAGTAGATGAAGATCTGTTAGCATTTGCAACCACTTTGAGGTCAGCACAAACATTCCACCTATGCATCTGGCAGGGGCGGGTCTACATAGGAACTAATAGGGCTTAACCCCTGCCTCCTGGGCCCCCTAGTGTCCAACAGAACTTGAATTATTATCATAAATTTTTAATACTTTTTGATTAACAATGAAATCGTATAGTAAAAAATAGTTAATGCTATAAATAATAATTATTATTATATTATTAATATTATTTATTTTATTGTAATTAATGCAATTGATTATAATAATTATATTGATTACAATTTGTCAGTAATTAATCAATGTAAATATTTCTTTATTTCTTGTGTTTTTTATACAAGATATAAAGTTTGTCATTCAATACCTTTTCGTAAATAAATATATTTCAACTCTGATTTTGATGTGATTAAAAATGAATTTAAAACCCAATTTAAAGATTCTTAATCTAACAAAAATGGGGCCCCATTGGACTTAAATAAGCCCTAGGCCCCGAAAAACCTAGATCAGTTTCTGGCTCCTGGTATTTTATCTTGTCCAGTATTACCTTCATGTTGTCGAAAGAAAGTCTTTCTTAATATGAACAAAATGAGCGACCGGAACGGGCGGATATTTGTTGCTATTGTGTAGCAAAACTCCTTTAAGGCGGAAGTTGATAAGTCGCAGTATTCTGTGGCAGCTGAAGCTCATCCAACAAATGCGATATATCGTTGCAAAAAACAAATTGTACTTTATTAAAAAAATTGACCAAAAGACATAATTACACTCCCTAATTCTGTCTTTTGGTAACAGGGCACCATCTTTCTCCAAAATTTTCCACCACAGTTCGAACAACAGTAACAGAATGTTTGTCTGAATTAGATATTTTTCAGAAAAAAGAAATAATTTTTAAAATGCTTTGGATAGAAAATTTTGGACTTCAGATTCATATTCAGCACACTAAAGTACATTTTAAAAACTAACATTTTCTTTCACAAAAGAATTTTGGTATAGAACAATGTTATAATTTAATTGTTAGGAAATTTTAAATAATAAAGAAATGAGACTGCATAATTTACCTTATTCGTCTTTCTGCTTTGGATGACATCATTTAAATTTTTAAATAAGAGTTCCATCGAAGGTAAACCAAAGAAACCTCTTATTTTATCTATGATTATTCGAAGTATAGATAAAATCACTTCTAATTCTCTAAAACAAACTGAAAAAGTAAAAAAAGTTTAAACTTATTTATTTCTTCTTCTNTTTACCTTATTCGTCTTTCTGCTTTGGATGACATCATTTAAATTTTTAAATAAGAGTTCCATCGAAGGTAAACCAAAGAAACCTCTTATTTTATCTATGATTATTCGAAGTATAGATAAAATCACTTCTAATTCTCTAAAACAAACTGAAAAAGTAAAAAAAGTCTAAACTTATTTATTTCTTCTTCTGTATTATGAGATAATTAACGTATAGTAACAACGTAACGCACTAAGACAATAAAACGTCTACATAAAGCTCGGGTACAGTACAATTTATCAATTTCTTAAAATTTTTAAATCATCTGCGCTACCCGATTGCCAGTAAATAATTGTCATTATAAAATGTTTTTATCGGTCGAAAAACAGGCTTACAGCATTCTACATGTTGGCTTATACGCTTGACAGTATTAATATTGGTTTAACAGATTTTATTGAATGTGGAAAATTAAGTTAAAGTGAATAAGACAAACCGGAATGACGCTCGTTATGTATAAGTTAAAACAATCATACTAGGATATAAAATGTGTAATAATTATTCTTCTCATTACCAAACAGATAATATAATTGTTACGAATAATTTATTGTTTTTTATGCAATAAGCTACTGTCTGCAATGCCGTATTCTAATCGCAATGCTTACGATACGATATAACAAATAACACACAGTGATAAAAAGATTTCTTCTAAAGAATTCAGACAAAATTTACGGTAAAAAGAGAAATAAATTCCAACATAACAAATTTATTGCATTGTTAACAAAGTCAATTAGGATCTATCAATGTTCTTAAACACTAACTTTTCTGTAAATGGAAAATTAATGGGCTACTGATAATGACGTTACGCGACAGCGTTCTAATCTATATTAACATAGTCGCTTTTTCTGGCGTAACTAGGACATTCCCTAATTATGCCAGTGCCGTTGTAATGAAAAAGTCAACACAAGTACTAAATATTGAAAACATAATTTAATTGTAGAGTTAACTACTGACAGTAATTTACACATATTTGTTATAATCCATTCAGTCAATATTAAAAGCGAAAATTTATTAAAATGTGTTAGGATCCATATTAGAATTTATCTAACGCCTCTTCCTTTTACATGGAATCTGGTTACGCTGTTGGGTAAGTAACTGGTTTGAAAAGTTATTTACTTTGTTTCTGATACTATCTTGGTGAGGATTACTGATTTTCGACTTTTTAATTACACTTTAATTAGTTAAAGAACTTAGCCTACTGCAACATGTGAAATGAGATCAAAACAACTTTACAATCGACTATCATATCATTACCCCAACCCGATTGGTTTATATTTCAGATGTCACACACAATCTATGCAACCGTGAAAACAATCACCTTTAAAATGCAACATTAACAACTGCTGTTGCCAGCGTGCTAGAAAGAGCAACCGTGTAAACAGTTTTAGACTTTCGGTCATAAGAGATGTTGGTATTATATGGCAGTACGATACCTCTTCTAGTGCCAGTTATATTTCAGACGAATATTCCATTTCTTCACACTCGGGATACTTTTCATAATGTCGACAGGTGATTTCTTCGGGCTATAGGTATTGGTAAGGCCGTCTCTTTCACAACTGTCAACTGTGGACAGGTGATTCTGATCGTCTAACAAATTGCATTGAGGACGTAACTTGAAACTTTTTTCAAATATTGCTTTGTTTGTTTTTATGTTGAATTGTTCGAAATGTAAATATAATTTTTCCTACATAAATATCAGCCGAAAAAACGTTATACAGCGAAATGTCAGTATAACGAAATTCAGGTGACCATCGAAATATATTGTCTACAGTGAAATTTCGTTATATTGAAATACCGTCAAAAATGCAAGAACAAAATAAATTTATTAATGTCGAGCAATTATTTATTGTGATATCGTCACAGTGCCGGGCTGGAATTTTTAATTATATTTTTCGTTTTTAATATGCTCTCCACTTCAAATTAGTACCGGCTTGCTTCTGTACTTCATATTTTTCAGTCAACAATAGAGTCGTATCGGTCATCTAACTCCTTTCGGGTGATATTTTTGAATTTAAATAACGTAACTTCCAGTTTGCATTGTAAGGTCGTGTATAGTTAATCAATGTTTCCTCCCTGTAGTCTTTTCATATTTGGTTTCAGCTTTTTTCCGCCTAACACCTTTCTTGAGAATAAGAAACGACAGAAGGATGAACAGATTAATGCGCAAAAAAAATTCGAATACATTTTGAAATAAGAAAGCTTTTAAAACCCATTATTGTCTACTAGTATTTATATAGAACGAAATTCACACTTTCAGAATGTATGTTATATTAAATTAGAATAAAAATTAACCTGTAAAAAAATTTACAAAAAATATCTGGAGCGGACCATTAAAATAACGATACAGTAGTACCCATTAGTTGAAATCGTGTCTCTCTAATTGTTATTTCTGATTAAAGCCGTTATTTTCTAGTAAACAACTGCTTCAAGTCTAATTTTCGTGTGTTTTGTTTCTATCATCAGTGTTTTCGATAAAATCCAGTACTGTGACACAGCATTCCAGAAGGTCGTCAGGCACATCTTTTTGCTTAATTCCTTTTTGCTTAGTACCTTTTTGCTTTTTACACGTTATCTAATAATTTATTATTCTCTTCCACAGAAAACTGCATTTGTTTTTTGTTTATTTCTAATTTTTCTCATAAAGTTAAAGGTGTAACATAATAGCATTAAAACGAATCCATGACTAAAGATTAAAATCAATGTTGCCAGATCTTTTAACATAATATTCATCATTTATAGATTTCGTTCTAGTAAATCTATTTTTTCGTAGCGAACAGAATTTTTATTAACTTAATTAAACTGAAATTTTCGTTATAATGATATTCGTTAAACTGAAACATTTTTGCATTGAGCTGAATAGGAAATTGGCAAGGAATTCAAGATATATTCGTTAAACTGGCATACGTTATACCAACATTTCATTGTATTGAGAGAAACGTGCTGTACATAACTTTAGACATTAAAAACCAATAGATTCTACAGATTTAAAACCAGACATTCTACCAGAGAAATTGTAAAGCGAGAATTGCCTATACAATAGAGTTCGATTCTCTCAAAATGAATTGCCGGAAAAAAATCGGTTATTTGAAATTGTTCAACTTCATTTATCACATAACCGATTTTTCGTACAGTGTTGATTATTTCGGATAATCAACGCTCTTCTATACGAGTATTTGTAAAAATGATCGTACTTACGTATTAGCCAAACAGTTTTTGAGGAAACGGTATCTGTCGAAATATATTTCACATTCTTGATGAAAATATCTTCAGGATTTTTTTGAATATTAGTTCTAATGCCAAAAGCCGTTCTTCCGATTATATCCATCGTTAAAGTGTGATACATGGGGAATATATTAAATTCTTCTTTGTTGTTGGCTTTCTTCCAAATGATGTCTAAAAATACTTTAATCGCATCTTCCACCAAAGGAACTGTCTGCAATTCATTACTTAATAAATTACAAAAGAAGTAATCATCGAATTAGACATGAAGAATAACTATATTATTCCAAATTATATTGAGTTTATATTAAAATATTCGCATTTTCATCAAACAAATTATTGTTTGGTGTAAATTAATTTAAGATTTTTTTATTGAATCTCAGAAATGGGATATGAATTGGAATGGACTTTTTTCGTCAAGAAAACGTCGAGCAAAGTGCTATATCACCGAATTGAAATCGGTACTAGTTTGACGCATAGTGGAATCGCAAAACATGGATAAAATCTATTGTGGTCCAAACTGTCGATTAATTAAGTGATTCACTAATCAATCGGATTAATTAGTGCCAAGTATCAACACATTTAAGTTCTAAAAATTACATTAACAAAATATACGGAATGAAAGAAATGATATCAAGAATGATTGCCAAATAGTGTCGGAGACAAATGAGTGTATCTCGTTCACCTTTTTTGAAACCTTTGCGAAGTGTAAAACTTTAGATTAATTAAATTTCTTTCTTGGTACTCGAACCTACATTATACTGTGAAGTGCACTACTTCAAAAATAAACCTCGATTTCAAATAAACCCTCGGAGTTTTTGAAATTGCGGGTTTATTTTTAACTTTTATTATGTTTTTAACTTCAATCCACGATATTTATTCAAAGTCCAGGGTTTAATCGAGGGAGTACGGTATATCATAACTTGCTGTCGTTTCAATCGTTTCCATCCTACTCCAATATATTTTACGAAGTTACTCATTATATTGCGTATCAGTAAAGCATTAAAAAGTATACTGTTTTAATTCGTAAAAATGTTCTCATACATTGTACGCAAAAAATACGAAATATTTCACGCGCTTTGCTCGTTCGTGACATACATATTTAAAGTTTTATCTCTTATCGTATAGCATCGGACAATTTGTCATCTCGAATTATTTTTGAAAACTTTCGTATTACATGAAACCTAAAAACAAATTTACTTATTTTTTTCCAGAGGTAAATATTGACCCAACTTCTGAGATCTGAAAGAACGTTTCCGCTTTGTAGAAAATAACAAGAAAACTAATTCAGATGATTTCCAAAATAGAGATGATTTCCAAAATAGAGATGATTTCCAAATAGAGGTCCGCGGCTCGCTACTGATCCACATAAAAAAATGTCTGTCAGCAGAAACCTCTGCAGGAAAGGTAATAAATGAAAAATTTTTCAACATATCAATTTATTTATTATTTATTGTTATCGAAATAAAATAACTTCCCATAATTTACGCAACTCTGAGAAACCCTAACCTTATGGAGATCCCGGCATTCCGGTTGTTTTTAACCCGGGAAATTATTCTCATTCCGGGAAATCCCGCAAATTTCTTAAAAAGCTCACTTTTTCCTTATTTTGTGTTAAGGTTGAAAAAATTTTGCAAATAGAAAATATAATTAACTCATAAACCGTCAGAATACATTTCTATTTATTAATTTTAAACCTACCTATTAGTTTTTTTTTTTTTATTTTTGCTCGTTATGGCATATCACGGATTGTCAACAATCAATATGTAGCCTATTTGTGGCAAGACTCTGAAAATTCTTTACTTGTCAGAATCTGTAATATCTGGAATAATTGTGCTTATGCTGTCTTAATTTTTAACCATGCAGTAGCTTCGATAACTGTGTAACGCCAGGTTGAACAAATTGGGCAAGGATACAAACGAGTATGCAAGTATGAAGTTTTTCTTCATAAATCTGATTATTAAAGCCAAACGAACTGCCGAATTATTGGGCTATAAGCTTGATGTTGCTATTAATGCAGCCGAGGTAGACAAATCAAGGATACTAGAGAGCAAAATAGGTACTAGAATCTCGAAAACGAACTAGAAATCTTCCAGGCTACACGTGAAAAACAGAACATCTGTCTTCTCTCAAATGCATTAAACACGATTCTACTCACATCAATTGAATCGGAAAGAGCATTTTCAGTAGCAGGACTTCTCATTTCTAAAATAAGAATCAGATTGAATGATCGGAGTATTGATCATCTTTGCTTTTTAAAATCTTATTATAAAAATTTACAACAATATTTTGTATTGTGTTTTATTTAAAAAACGAAAATTACCTTTAAGTTAGAAGTTTATTCTACGTTCATTTTTTAAAATTTTCAACTCAATTCAAATCATTTTTGTTGTTGTTGTTGATGTTGTTATATGCAGTTTCCAGCAAACTTTAATAAATTTTTTCTACTTGTGAAAATTTCTACGTAATTGAAAAGTAATTTTTAATATATATCTTACACGGCATTATTAATATGATTTTGGAGGTTGCAGAACGCCTTAAATTACTTTAAAAAATGAAAAATAATTATATCATTTGATTTCAAGATTTTTTTTATATCTTAAAAATAATTAATTTTATCCCGGGATTTCCCGGGATCACGGAAAACGGTTCATTTTTTTCCCGAAATCCCGGGACAAGAAAAAGTCCGGGAAATGAGAAACTTAGTTATAAGAAGGTAAATTGTCATGCATGCACCAAGCATTTATATTCTTTCGTAATCATCTGCAAGGAAGATCAAAAGAATTTACAGAAATCTACTGGCTCCTAGCTGGAAGAGTTAAAATAGATCTGCTTTAAAATTTTACATATCGATATATTCAAAAGACAATTTCGTCAATAAAAATAGTTCTAAAAAAATATTCTTTCTTCACTAAATAGTAATAAAAATTGACACACCTGTTTTAGTTTGTTTGTGCTGAAACCGGGTGACAAAATACTTCGAGCATTTTTCCATTCCTTTCCTTCTTTAAGACTTAAGGTTTCTCTACCGTATTTGTGAGGGATTCCGCCATCCGAAATGAATAACTGCAATAAACAGCATATTGATATTAGGATTAAAAAATTTTTAACAAGATATTCACTTTTAATCTACTGTTTCCTTGTAAGCAATCGATAAAAAATGTTTAAACGTCAAACATCTATTAACAACACTAAATTAAATTTAATGCTACCAACACTTACAATCACTTTACTCGGTTTAAAATAATAGATTATTATCAACTTTATACATATATATAACCTATGAGAAAACGTCAACTCCAACAGCAATTCCGACAAAACATAATGATTCAGTGGAACCGTGTAGTCTAACAGACTAAGCAGTTGCAAGAAACCGTTCTCTCGGAATAGTTTCGTACTTCAATCAGTTTTAACAGTTCCAGTTCCAGTTCCAGAAGCGAAACTGGAATTTTTCTATCTCTAATCCATAGTTAGAACATTATATTTAATATAGACTAATATAATTTAAATAATTTCAATATTGTGTTATTTAAAAATTTGAATTTTGTCAAAAATAAGAAATAGAAAAATCAAAAAAAAAAAAAATTAAAATTAAAATGACAAACACAATGACAAGCGGACATTTTGCGAAACATATCTTTAATGATAGAAGGAGGAAAAGAACTTTAAACCGAAATAAAAAATATCGATAAAAATCGATAACTCGGGAAATAGACGGAACTCGATGAAATTTGATACGTAGGTTAAAAAATACTAAATATCAGTTCTACAAACTGATACGAATCCCTCACGTAGTCATGGCAGGCATTCGAACATGGCAATAAATATATCGTAACGCAAAACTTCTTAGTTTTCCATTACGGGTTAGTTTTGACATAACTTTATACATATTTAAAAAACGTTTACTTACCTCACGATCCACGAAATTTTCGAAATCTTTTATCTGCACTAATTTCCAAAAATCCTAATCCGATACTAATAATATCGGTTTAGCTCCTAAGTAATATCTGTAATATAACGTTTTTATTGTTTCTAATTAAACAAAGATACGTTACGTTTTAGTATTATGAATAGAAGTTTACGAAAAAGAAATTAAAGAGAAAATCACGCACAGACTAACAAATTCTCTTCTACTTTTTCTTTTTTCGAGCCAATTAAAATATCGATAATAACAAAATAATGCCAGTTACAGATAATCAAGTTCGGCTCGAGACTTGCTCTGTTGCGCCGGTTCATCAAGAATTGTATCATTCTGAAGGACAAAGAAAAATAAATGTTCTTCTGTCAGTAGTTATCCATTGGGACTTGGGTAAAACGACTCGTAACGTTACAAACAATATTTCCACATTGATCAGACAACGTTGTTGCTATGATTACACCATTATAAATATCGGCAGAAATTTATGGGCATATCTTTACTGGCAATTATACGCCAAACAAAAGCGTGCAAAATAACAGCAAGCTGTAAAAATTGCTAATTCAGTTTATTGTTTGACCGTTAATTAACTTGAAACTTTAAACTTACTGTTGCGACCGTGATTAGCCAGTCATGATTGTAATTTACGTTATTTTTTAAAATATATTTTTCTTCGACATCATTACTCTGTTATACTGTTCCACTTCTTATTTACATGCAAGTTTTCTGCATCTACTGATTACTAGTTCTTTATCCCCTGTAATGAAATTTCACAACAGTAGCAAGCCTAACAAACTAACATGTGTGTACCGATTTGAGACTGCTAATAAAACTTTAAAATACAAATAAATAAATAAATACAAATGAACTTATCTAAGTTTTAAATTCTTAGCGAGAAGTTATTCGGCTGAAACTTTTGACCAGAAAGCTATTTAGTATGTCAAAAATACAACTTTTTCTAAATCTATAAATCGGATCGCTGAAATAAAAAAAAACACAACTGTAAACAAAAATAAATGCTGTCAAGCATCAAAATAGTTCCACAATTGGTTTCAAAGAGCAGCGTTCCACTTTTTCCCAATATTCCCTTTTACTTTGCGACATTAACAACTATATTTTATTGGCATTTAAAATGTATGTTTAGATATATATTTTAAAACATAATGTTTGTGCAAAGTATAGGCCTATTTCACGTTATATTGCGGTATATCTTATCTTTATTAAAGTCTTTTACATGTGAGTTCTTTAGATATTACATAATTTTCAGCGTTTATTGTTTTTATAAATAATAAGTCTATAACTTTCATTACTGCAATATGGATGGCTTCGCGAGTTTCTTAAACGATCCCGTACAATATTCGTACAATAAAGATCGCTTAAACCCTTTTCTATACGATACATAAGGTAAACGTCTAATGCAGAAGTCATGAGCTTTCAAATATTTCAAATGTACAAAACTTAATTATACAAGCAAATAATATGCAAATATGCCGCATGAGGAATCAACACTATAAAACCGGCCTACGCCCTCACCTTCATTATTGAACGTAAACAATAATGAAGAACTTCATCATGAATGAGGGGAAAAAATTTCTCGTAATGCGGCTATTTGTTCGATTGGATATCGAATCTCCCACATTAAAACATCTGACCGTTGAAATTTGAGTCTATGCAGTTTCAGAATGTGTTGATAACCATATTGCACAATTCGAACGCCATACGAAGAGCTTTACTATGTAATTCAGTAATATCAATCTTAAAAAAGTATTGTTTAAATTTTCGTGAGAATAAAAATTACCAAAGAATAAATTTTTTTTGCCTAATTTTAATTTTAGTATGTCTTGAAGTGATTGCAATACAAATAAAAATATAGCATACGAAATTCATTTGTAAAGAGCAATTGTTTATTGTGACATCGTTACAATGTCGAGCTGCAATTCTAAATCATATTTTTCATTTAATATGCTCTGAACCTGAAATTAGTAGTGGCTTGCTACATCATACTTCCTTTAACAATAGAGTCAGTCCAGTCAACTAACACCTTTCAGGGGAAAAGTTTTGACTTGAAATGAAATGACTTATCAGAAGTTCTGGTATAGTTAAGCTGAAACTCCTGTTCCTAATATTTCCATGTCTAGTCTCGACTTTCATCTATCGAACTCCGTTCTCGAGATTAAAAGAAAGACAGGCTGAGAAGCTGACGACAGTGGGAGTTTTTTTTTATATTCTTTTCGCCCTGTGGGCACTAAGAGGGCCTGCTATAAGAGGTCCTCTTAGTGCGGGTGCACAATGGGGCACCGGTAAGGGACGGGGCCCGACATATCCGAACGGATCATCCCCCGAAAAATTCCTGGGAATTCCTTGACCCCGGGCCCCCCAGAGCGGTAGGCTGCCACCTTCACCGCTTTGCCATCTGGCTAACAGTGAGAGTTTACAGGTATACAATTTTTTTCTAATTGCAGCCCAATAAAATATTGTGAGAACCGAGAGGGTATGACTACGTCGTGCCTCCGTGGATCGGCTTTCAAGTCGGAGAGATTTGCCCACTAGTCAGAGATGGCTTCGATTTTCTTTAGGTTATCCCGAGGGAACGGGATTAAAATGTGGCAGGTCGAGTGGAGGAGGGAGGAGTGCCGTCGGTAAGGTGACAGGCAATATACAAGTAAAAGTGGACACCAATTTAACAAAGAAACAACGATTTATCAGTTCCTATATATACGATACAATAACTATTATCGAGGGAAATTTCTGAGTCCCTAAGGCCCTGTACACACTAGGCGTTTTTCAACGCGCGTTTTAAAGAACCAAGAGTTCTATGTAGCCGTACATACTCAAACGCCAAGCGCGCGTTTAACGCGCGTTTATAGATTTTTGTTAAAACGCGCGTTTTGCGGGCACTTTACGGGCGCTTTGAGATATATGTGCTGCCTTATAGCGACGATGGAGGAGCACACACAATCAATTACTTTCTCGTCCATTTCCAAACTGAGCCAGTGCTAAACGCCGAACTAACGCTCGTCGAACGCCGAGCTAACGCGCGTTTGCTCGGCGTTTAACGCGAGTTGAAAAACGCCTAGTGTGTACAGGGCCTAAAACGCGAAGGGCCGAGAGAGAGTTCACAGAAGTTGGTTCCATACCTCTTTATGGGTTTAGATATCCTGGCAATAATCAGGTAATCCACTGATTCGTCGAGAATCGAATTAGGGCACAAAGTTATAGATAAATCCTAGGTTATCGGCACTACTACCATCGATGAGCGACTCCCCTGGAGGGAGAAAGAAGCGGCTTTTATCGTTTCGCGGTGGGAAAACTGTTATGTGACTGATTAGTTGCGAGGTAAAAGTGTGCTGGGAGGTCAAAGTTGTCCCCGGAACCCAAATAAGATGACGAAATCATATGTTAACTATCAACTTTTATGTTTGAAGTGTGGGAATATTGTTGAGATGGGCGAATGTTTACTTTGGGGAAAAAAGGGGGCGGTCGAAATTTTTCTCTCTGTCAAGTTAGGTTTCACTCTATGTTCTTAGGGAAATTTAATGAGGTTTTAGGTAAAACGGGACATTAATCGGAAAAAAATCGGTAAAAATTCCGGATTTCACAATATTAATGGTTGAAATAATCTTAGACTATAAATATTAACTATCGGAGAAAAGATACGAATCTCAAGATATTATTATTTTACAGGCGAAAAATACTACTGTCGAAGTAAAATTGTCCGACATACGATTTCCCGCGCTTTTCCGTATTTTCAAACGAACGACGGTTATCACCACGAGAACGCTGATCAGACAACTTTTGGAAACTCGACCGCGGATTGGCTGGAAGACATCGTACCACCAGCGGACGTCTTGTAGAGCTACTAAGCGCTGATTGGTGGAATTCCTTTTCCTTCAATCCGTATAAAAGGATTGAGTTTAGGCGGGAAGTTTAGTTCGCCTAGGACAGGGGTCGGCAGTTTGTCAAGTGAGAAGAGCCAAATTGTCATGAAAACAGGATAACAAAAGTACCAGAGAGCCGCATATTAATTTAAATGTGCGAAATACGTCACACTACAGAGGCGCCTCTAGTGGCCGTTTTCGGCATAACGTTACACGGATGAACGGACACGCGTTCAATTGGTTATATATATATAGATATGCTTCAAATGCTACCACTCTTATGCGACTCATATTGATCAACGCGAGTGTGGTCATGTGTGGACGGAGAACAAGTCGAAGTTTGTTCGGCGGCTCTATCTCATAAACTCATAAGTTATAAGGCTGCGGTGAAATGAGGTGAGATGAAATTGGAGTTTATTTCCGAAGAGCCGCAAACGTCTATGCAAAGAGCCGCATGCGGCTCGCGAGCCGCTAATTCCGACCCCTGCTTTAGGGGATTCGCTTACTTCCGCTATAGAGTATGATAAATACTTTGGCTTTCATTAAATACTTGATAAAGCTAGCTGTAAGTACCCGCTTCGCTGGGTTTTTATTTGTTCGTACATTTATGTGTAATATAGTTTTTTAATATATATAAAAGACTGTTTTTCTAAGTAATCTAGAATCTAGCTGCAAGGACCTGCTTCGCTGGGCAAAAAGTAACGATAGTGAAGATTAAGATAATTACATTATAGCTAATCTTACCCGTTTTCACAGAATGCAAGAATTAGGTCC